CCACCCAGACACCCCTTTCCCCCCAACGTTTTGAGATATAATTGACACATAGCATTGTGCGAGTTTAAGGGGTACGACCTGATGATTTGATACATTTATCAATTGCAAATTGATTACAACCATAATAACTTCCATTCAGTCATATAGTTACCATGTCCTTTCTGTGGTGAGAGCATTTAAAATCTACTGTCTACTCTCTTAGCAACATTCGAGTCCACAATCTTTATTTAATTTTAAATTTCCTCATTTTGATCTTAAGGATTTTCTTCTCCTAAATTTAACATTATTTTTTTCTAACTTTAAGGAAATTGGAAATATATGGCATAGACATTTTTTTTTTATTTCTATGGATTCTTCTTTGAGATCAGTCCCCCTTAATAGTCAATAACAAATTCTCCTACCCTTCTCTTTGAAAATATGTATTACTGTCACTGATGACTTGCATCCAGTAATCTCTGGATAATTAGTGTTGTTTCTTTGGAATTTTTGCTAATAATTTAGGATTGAAGATTTTTCTCAGCATATAGACTTCTAATTCTGGATCTTAGTGCTTGTTTCTATAATTACAGTCTTGAAAATATTTCTCCTATTTCCTTGATGCAATTTAGCTACAAAAGTTAGTCACTGCTTTTGTTCCTGTTTGTTTTTGGAAAGCTTATTTCTTTGTGAATTAAAGATGATGAATACTTTTTCATTTGGAATATAGTCTGCTTCTGGCATTTGTATAGTTATTGGTCACCAAAATATTAGTTTCTTATTGGTAGGTTGCAGTTAAATATAGTAAGCTCTCAGTTTCTAGACTCCAAATAACTGACAGATAAATCATTAAAAAAATAAGATTATTTTAGTTATATTTAATATTTTTTAAAAAGATCCTGAAATATTATAATGTTTCAAAATGCTTTAAGAAATGTATTAAAAGAGGATGATAGTCAAGACAGGTTTAGGATTATGGATTTTTGCTCTTCAATATGATATATAAACTATGAATAAAATATTCTCAACCTGGGGATGCCTGGGTGGCTCAGTCAGTTGAGCATCTGACTCTTGATCTCAACTCAGGTCTTGATCTTAGTGTCATGAGTTCAAGCCCCACGTTGGGCCCCACGCCAGGTGTGGAGCCTACATTAAAAAAAAAAAAATTCTGAACCTGGATTCCATATATGTATATATTTTTGTGGATTCAATCTCATTGACTTTGTTTTCACACTTCCTATATAATAACTCTCGGTTTATCAGAATATTAGATTAGCCAGAATATATCCCATTTCCAACCCCACGAACAACAAAACCAACAACAGAACCCACTGGATTTAGTAATAAGTAGTCTTTCTTCCATTCAGAATGCATCAGCTTACTGAAATATTCCTAACAAATATTTTGATCATGGTGAATAATTTTCTTTTCTAAAAGTTATACTCCAGCTTGGTTTAACTGCAAAACTGATTCTCAATATTTGTATTGACAGTCCAATGTGACTGACTGATTGACCTAATGGTACCTTTAGGGATAAATATTTTAAGTGTTTACTCCGTGGTAAAGTAAATAAAACTCAATGTAATCTCCATTAAAGCCACCCCAAATTATACATTAATAGTATCTGTTTCCCCAACCCAGATTGCAAGCTTAGGGTATGTTCCGAGGTTGTTATATTCCACTTTGTGTTCCCTGATTCATCCAGCCTAGGGCTTTGCATGTGGTGAGCACTCAAAATGTTTATGGATTAGAAATAAATAAACACATTTAAAATAGGCTTTGGAAAGCACTTCCTTTACAGATGCTACATCGGGCCTCAGTTGGCGCCAACAGAGCCTTCCATAGCTTTCTGTTCTGCACACAGCCCTGTGTTTAATAGAACTGGAGAGGGATGGAGCAAGAATGGGGGTCTGGGACCTGGGTTTGCTTAGGACCTGACACTGAAATGTGTAGACCCTCCAGAGAATAATGCACCAAGGCATGATGCGGCAGGGAAAGGTGGGGTGGTGGGGAAGCTTTGGTGTCTTCTCCAAACCTGGTGCTTCCAGGTGGAGTTCTGACCTATTTGGGGGCTTCTTTTTCACATCTGTCAAATATAGGTATATACTGTGAGCTAGTGAACACAAGAGGCCAGTGCCCCTCCAATGTGCATATGCACGGGAATCTGCTAGGCGTCTTGTTAAGACGCAGTACACTTGGGGTGAGATCTGAGATGCTCTGTCTTGGCTATTTTCCAGATGATGCCCGTGCTGCTGATCCCTGGACCACACGTTGAACAGATAGGCAGGGATCTGTTTGGTTCACGTGTGCACACCTAATCCTGTGAATGGAATAGAGCAGGCCCTCAATAACTGTCTGCTGAAAAAAAAAAAAAAAAGAGTTCTATATTTCATACCCAAGCTGTCCCAGCTTTCATTTCAGAATGGGCCCTTACAGGGGAAAATAATGGTTTTGAATTCCAGACACTTTGCTTTTAATATCAAAAGCCTGGTGGACTGAGAGCACGGCCTTTACCACGAGCCACAGAATTGGGAACGATGGCCGGTTTCCAGCTCTAAAGGAAATATGACTTCATCTAACAGTGAGGAAGGAAGGATTGGAGACACAATGGGGGGTGAGGTCCTAGTGGGTGCCTAAGAAGGGGTCCTTGCAAACCGCATACTCCGGGGCTCAGTCCCCAGAGGGAGGCCCAGAGCAGAAAGGACAATTACCCATCACCCAGGGTTTAGTACAGGGGGACTTGAAGATTCACACCAGAGCAGCACCTGAGGAATAGATCAGTAAAGGAGAGGACAGCCTCACCAGAGTCCTGAGCTCCCTTAGAGAACTTGAATTGGCAAGTTCAAGAGGTCCAGAAGTTGGACCTGTGACGTGAGTCTCCTGCTATCTAAGTTAGCAAGAAATAAAGTCTAGTTATTTTGTATCTCTGAGGAGGTGCCTCCCTAAATTTTAAACTTGCTCCAGATGTCTGATATGAGGCTCCACCTGAAGTGGAAAAAAAGCAGAGAGGCAAATAGAGGGCTGAAGTAAACAGACGAGTCCCAGAAAATGCCAGGCAATTGTTCCATGTACATAGTAGCGATTTCCCTGGGGTGTCTCGTGCCTGGCTGATCTAATGAATTGGATTTATTTGCTTATGAACCTAAGCTGTTGGGAGGCTGATGAAACATTCCCAAGAACTCCAGCAGGTCTTTGGTGACCCAGGCCAGGAGAAACATCCAAATGCTGAATTCACACACCACACACAGATGGTGGTGTTTTGTTCCCTCAGTGAGGACAAGAACTGACGCGGCGTTACTCTCAAAGACGGTGCTCAGACAGTTCCAATTTAAGATAAAGAACTGGGGAAGATACAAGCAGAAAACCTGCCTTAAAGAAAGCAAGCTGAAGGAAGAGCACAGAGTGCTTTAGCTTGCATGCTTGCTTTTTACTCTGAGCCACTTGAAACTCACATACGGAGGTTAGCATCGGTCTGCTCTGCAACCCCTCCCACCCACTGCCAACAGGATCCCATGTTCCATCCTCCTCTGCTCCACGAGATGAATGGGGAGTCCGAGAACCCAGTTCCAGCCCGTGCTGGACTCTTGCAGGCATGAGTCCAGTTGCAACATCTGGTGGCTTGGGAGGGGCGTTGGCCTGGAGCTTGGAAAACTGTTGTGACATCCTTGTCCTCACGAGAGGCAGCCTTCCACCACAGCCTCCTCTTGGAGCTTCTGCACTACCCAAACTGACAACTGTCGAAGTGGGTGGGATCATGAATCAAGCAATGGCAAGACCCCGGGGCCCTGGGCCTTTAGACGGAGTGGACTAAGAGATCAGTGTCCCGGAAGATCACAGGCCTGCTATGGTTCTAATATTTTGTCTCCTTGGTAATTTTCTCAAGCTTTGATCTCTGATTTGTCTGAGGACTTTGGAACTCCCTGCATTGGGTCCACTTGCATTGGGTCTCAGACTTGGCTGGTAGCAGTTCAGATCCCAGGTCTTACCTCAAACCTGGTGACCAATGTCCAGAGGTGGGGCCTGGAAAACCTTTCTCCGCCTCCTTCCTTCTTTCCCTCACTCCTTCATTCCTTCCTTCTTTTCTTCTTTTTCTTTGTTTGCCCTCCCTCTCCCTCGTCCTTCCTTTAAAAAATAAGCGGCTCAGCTGTTTTCTGCAGACCACTTAGGAGAGCGGGGCAGCAGTGGTGTCTGTGAATTCTCTCTGAGGTTTTCTGCGCTCCTCTGGCCATGCCCCTGACTTCTCTTTGGCCTCATGGACCACGCTTTGATGTCTTGCCCAGGCATTCCTAGCAACTACCCCTTCCTCTGGTCTTGGCCTTTGTTATGTGTGTCTCAGCCAAGGAGAGAGTGAGGAGGCCTGAAGATCGGTCCCCTGGGAGAAAGCCTAGCTTGGGGTCGTGGTGCCTGGCACAGCAGAGAGCAAAGGCCTGAGGGGTGGTGAGGGAGGGAATCATATGACTGGCATTTCAAGAGAGGAGAGCAGCTGAGGGAGGGAGGCAGACATGTCAAAGAGCCTGTGTACCTTTGGAGGAAGGGCAGTTTGTCACAGTACCCGTGGGTGGTGGCAGAAGCAGCCAGATAACGGGGGTCAGGGAACCCCACTTAAAGGGAGAGGAAGTTGCTTCCTAGTGTGGCCACTATGGGCAAGTTAGCCCCATTTTCCAAATCTCAGTGTCCTCATCTGTAAAATAAGAATAGTTCTAAAATTTAACTATCTGCCCTCAGAGGAGCCAAACACATAAAACAGGGCTTGGCACAAAGTCAAACTAAAAAATCATTTTCTCCCTCCTCCTTCTCCTCCTCTTTTTGCTTCCTCTTTTTCTTTTTGAAATCTTGTTACAGACTCTGGCCTTTGCAATAAAGGTGAGCAATTGTTGTTATTATTTTAGTTGTCAAAGACATTGACCTTGAGTTAAAATTATAACTTTCTCTGGGTATGCATGCCCCCCCCCTTAAATTTTGCAGGTATGAATGACTTCCTTTACTGTGCAGCTTAATTCATCTGAATCTCCGCATCTAGGCAAGGGACACGGATCTGAAATCATACTGTATATGGCCAAGCAAAGTTGCTGTACCCGACTGAGTCTTCTGCTGCAAGATGTCTGAAAATGTAAGTTTCTTATAAGAAAGAGTCTCCTTTGCTGCTTTGGATACTCATGGCGTCTTTGGTCAATCAGGATCTGTTTGTTTTATTTTATTCCTTAGGCATCTTGTTTTTCTGAGTTGTGACTTATTTTAACATATGTGGGCTTTCCTCCATTTATTGGAATCTCTACTAGAAGTGAAAAGAATGGGGGAGAAAGCATATTGCCTCACCAAGCCGAAGTCGTTATTGACAATACAGAGAGGAAGGCGGAAATAACGCCGATTTGCTTTCGGTGATCTTCACACACAGGTCAGGAACTGAGAACTGGGGACTTGGGGCTGGAGAGGTACATCATGAGAGGCAGGATATAATTTTCCTAGGCTTGCTTTAGTATTCTTGGAAGCTCCTTCAGAGTGGAGCTGACGGCTTCTACTTCTCTTTCATCCGCAGTACTAGACCTCTAGATTTGTTAACTTTATTGGCTTCTTTTTTATGCATCACAGTGGATATCGAACCTTTAAAACATGGTGTTACCAGGCCTTTAATGTAAGGGTGGAAATTGCCACCGCTGAAAAATCTTGACATCGCTCAATTTTCTGGAACCCTATTTGGTTCCCAGGGCATCTGAGTTCTTAACGTACCTTTAAACCTTAACACATTGCTTATTGCTTCCAGATACGGAGGCCATCCTGTATTGGAAACGCTGTCCTCCCCTACTCAATTGCAAACAGTGGTAAAGGAATGCTTTATTGGTGGCCTATTGTTCTAGCCTGGCAGACCCTGGAAGATATTTGTAACATGTTTTTTAAGTTTTAGATTTTAAGGCGAATATTTACAGGGTCAGCTGTTTAATGTTTTTTCACTAATTAGACTAAGTCCTTACGGTTTGCCCCTCCTTTGTGTTGTATGTTTATTGTGATCTATATAACACACAGAGATACATAAAGTCTTTACTATAGTAAAACATGTAATAAGTAACTTCATTTCTGAGTTCTTGGCCAGGGTCTTTTTAGCCACATCTTCCTCCCTTCCCTTCTTCCCTTTGTTTTGAAGGCTCTCCAGGCCTGTGTCTTCGGGGACCCATAATTACTCAGCCTTTGTTCCCAGTGGGCCCTCTGTTCTCCAGGCCCACCTCCCTGAGTGATGTATCGGAGCAAGGAACAAGCGGTGGGTCCAGGGGTTTTATTCTCCCATCCCTTGAGGGGACCTTATGGCTCTGTTGAATTTCAGGCCTGGGATTTCCAGAGATCTTCGCTGGGCAACACTGGGTGGCCTGGCTTGACTTCTTTGCTCTCAGTGCTATAGAGCGCTGAGCAAAGAGCATTGGTGGAGGAGGGGGGGAAAAAAAACCTGCCCACCAGCTGGGCTCCGGAGTGAAGTTCCACCCCGGGTTGCAGGATTCCTGGAAAGATGATGTCCAGAACCAGTGCCATGCTCTTTGTAGGACTAACTAGGTACTGGTGTGTCACCAACATCTGGTTTTCCCTGGAGATGTTTACATGCAACTGTTCTATGAAATCAGTCCACCATGCAAACTCATCCTTCTAAGAAAATGTGTGCAGATGATTTAACTTAATGACTTAGTTAAATTGAATGGCTTCCAGTTGCATAGTAATGTGTTTTGAGAAGTTTTGAAAGAGAGAGAGAGGAAAAGCTGGTTTCCCATCTCGTTCAAATAATTTTCCATTCCTCAGGGGGAGAAAGGAAAGTCTGAGAATCCAGCAGAATTAATGCAGGTTACCCATTACTTCATTTTATAATGTTTGGCAAGGAAAACATTTAAGTCAGTTAAATCTGTTTACTTAGCTCTTCCAGGCATTCCATGTGGATGGGGCCTGGGTTGGAGGGGACAGTGAAATGCATTTCTGGGGAGATGCCTTACTCGCTTACTCAAGAGAAATAGGTCTGTTTTATAAGCAGGGCCTGCAACACCTGGATTCTAACGGGTTCATTAGGGACCCAGGGGTTTACGCGAGCATTTGTATGCAGTGGGCCCTCCTGCAGATGAAGAACCTGAGAAGCCCATCTCTGACCCCTCAGGCTGTTATGGAAAAGCTCTGTTCGGGGTCACCTGGGTTCAATTCCTGCTCTGCAATTTGCCAGCAGTGTGACTTTGGGCAAGTCATGAAATCTCTCTGCACATGGTAAGGAGAATTCCTTACTTCAGAGAATTGTTGCAAGAATCGCATGAAACAGCAGATGTGGAAGTGCCTTATAATCTCTAATCCAATATTACAATGCCTTCCAACGTATCATTCTTAACACGGATCGTAAGAAAGCGTGTTTCCAGCTAGAACGTGGTAGCAGGGAGGGCAGAGAATATGTAGACTCTCTAGATTCTTTGAGGGAAAATATGGACTTCTCAGACCCATTTTCAAAAGTGCATGAGCTGTGCTTGAGAAATGGCCTTATAGGAAGGAGTCGATGTAGTGGTTGGTAGCGCTACAGGCTGTGTTTGGGGCTTAGCAGCGTCAGGTGAGCGAGTGGAGATTGCACGGGGCAGATGAGGATGATGATGCTGATGACGTCAATCGATCACGTGCTCTGGTCAGACCCTGCTGGGCGCTCACTTGGAGCATCTCGTTTCTTCTCTACAACCACTGACTCTACTTTGATTCTTATTCCATTTTACAGAGGAGAATTCCTGAGAGCTTAAGAAACTTGTCCAAATTTACACAGCTAGAGAGCCGTAGAACGGGGATTCAAACCCGCATGTGACTCATTTTCAAGCCGACACCCTTAACCACTGTTAAAGGGAAAGAAATATAACAAGGCTTTTTTCTCCCCTCCCTGAAGGGTCCCATATAGAAACTCTCTTTTCCTCTATAAATCCTATCAGGAGTAACCCCCAATCCCTTAGGATCACCTAGAAAAAGAAAAATAGAAAGGAAGGAGGAGATTATGCCACGTGGCTGTCATTACTGTTGTTTACGATGAGCTAGAAGCAGGGTCACGTCTGAGAATTGCTAGCTCTCAAGAGGACCTCTGGACTCTCCCTTTGGAGATTTTAGGACAGATGTTAAAGGGCAAGACTGTTCTCTCTGAGGGTAGACACTGTTTTCTGTTTCTTTAAAGACTTTTTATTTATTTTCAATTTTTTTTTAAATTTTTTAGAGAAAGAGAGCACCTAAGGGCACAAGTGGAGGGAGTGGGGCAGAGAGAGAGCCCTAAGGCGGCTCCATGGCCGGTGCAGAGCCCAACTTGGGCTTAATCTCGAGAACCTGAGCTGAAATCAAGAACCAGATGCCTAACCCACTGAGCCACCCAGGGGGCCTCACTGTTTTTTGGTTTCTAAGGATTCCCTTCAGCATCTAGCTCAGTGCCTCGTACAACGTTAAAAAAGAAATCTTTGGTGACAAGTGGGATCCATAGAAATGAAAAGACACCCCCAAATCTTCCCTCGAGACCCTATCCTTTTGTCACTTCTACAAAAGCCAGCCCTGAAGTTGGTGGCTTGGAGCATCTCTGTAGCTGAAGTCTGAAAGCAATCTCTGCATTGATTCTGCGGGGCAGGTGAGGCCCCACCGGGTCCCCCGCTCGGTCAGTGTGGAAGATTTCCTTCCATCTACCTGCGGGTTTGAAATATCTGACGAAGTTCCTGCCTATCTGCAGGAAGGAACAGATGCAACAAGAAGAGACTGGAACTATTTGGCTTTTCACTCAAGACTTTTGGTTCTCTGTGATTTTGTTATTCTCTCGTTCTGTTTACAAACAAAGTAGACAAATATGAAAACCCCAACAAAATGACTAGAGGCTGCATATGTGACAGAGAGACTGATGTATACATGCCTACTATTTTCACTGTGCTACGTCTCTCTTTTCATTTTCTTTTCCAGCCTGTGACCAACCCCCGTACATTTGGGTCATGGTGAAGGCATTCCCAGGGAGTTTTAGTGGAAAGGAAAAGACATAACGATGCAAGGGGCTGTTTTATCTGGTGCGGAGGTAGGAATCACACATTACTCCTGGGGAGATGAGCCGAGGATGGTGTGACTGGTGCTTACTTTCTCACAGCATGTGACAGAGATCTGGGTGAGACTTTGGTGAAGCTGCTGTGGCCAAGCAGATGATGCACAAAGCACTTCAGAATGCACGTCAGCCACCAAACAAAATCCTTAATCCTGCTTTTCTGTGAAAGGACTCTAATCCAAGTACTTCATGCTAGACGTCAGTGAAGTCTGTACTTAGGGGAGACTGTCCCAGCTTCCGTCTTTTACTCCTGTGGTTGGAGCAAATGTATATGTCTTATGGATAATATCCTTTCTAGGTAATTTTGTAGGTGATTTACAGAGTGGTACGGTGGAAGGATCTTCCTCTCAAAGCTCAGGTGGCACCTCCTTCTTGGCTTCGCTACTTACCAGCTATTTGACCTTGACACTTAACCTTTCTGAGGCTCACTTTTCTGCATTGCCTACTTCACAGAATGGCATAAATTCTGTAGTGACTCTGAAGAGACCCCCAAAACTGTAAAAGCACTAGGCAAATTTCAGACACTTGAACTCTGTAACTTTAGAAAAGGCAGGTCATTGTTAGTAAGTGGAAGATGGAATAGAGAAAAAATAGTTTTAATTTTGTTCAAGTAATGTTTTTGGTAAAATCATATAACTTGGAGCTCTTCGCTATTGTAGGAACCATTTTTGAATATATAGGATTTATTAGTGTGACAAAATAGAAATAAATTAAACTGATGTATCAGTTTACAGTTTAAAAATTAGAAGCTGATTTAGTTTGTAACCACATTATAGCAAGTATTATTGTCATACTTCTAAATCCATGGTCAAGGTGATTAAAAAGCTGAATTATGGTTGCTTTGCACTGCTTAGGTAACATTTATATAATTATTTTACTTATGTAGAAATACCAAATTATAATGGCTAAATTACCATAATTAAGTATAGTTAATCAGAATTATATAGCATTCTACTTATTCAGTTACTTCTTCATAAGCTATAGAGAACAGTTTTTTTTCCTAATTCAAATACTTTGTATTTAAAGGGGAGTGGGAGGTACAGGCTTCCAGTTATGGATGAAAAACTCACGGGAATAGAAGGTGCAGCACAGGGAATATAATCAATGGTGTTGTATGGGGACAGATGGTAGCTACACTCACGGTGAACATAACATAACGTATAGACCTATCAAATCACTGTGTTGTACATCTGAAACTAATGTAACATGGTGTGTCAACAATACTCAAATGAACACACACACACACACAAAAGCCACTTGAAATTTTTGCTTGAAACATGCTAATATTATGTTATATACATTCTATTCCAGTAAAGTGTTTTAAAAATTAAAAAAAACCCAAATACCTTTTTTTTTTTTTAAAGATTTTTTATTTATTTATCTGAGAGAGAGAATGAGAGACAGCGAGCACGAGAGGGAAGAGGGCAGAGGGAGAAGCAGACCCCCAGCTGAGCAGGGAGCCCGATGCGGGACTCGATCCAGGGACTCCAGGATCATGACTTGAGCCGAAGGCAGTCGCTTAACCAACTGAGCCACCCAGGCGCCCAACCCAAATACCTTATATTTACATAGTGCTTTGTAATTTTCAAAGCCTTTCACAGACACTACTTAATTTGAGCCTTGCATAATCCAAACTTTCTGTGTTTTTCTCTCAAAATAATATGGGAGGTGAGACATTGACTCCAACGAAGCCCAATGCTAGGTTTCCCCGAAGACCATTGTGAGGTCAGAATCTCTTCATTAGATGCTCTTCCAGCTTGCCGCCCCTTCCTTGTGGCCCTTGCCATGGCTGTCTATGTATATGAATTTCTGTGATGACTTGGTAAATGTCTTTCTCTTCCAGGAGACTTTCACTGCTGAGAGGGCAGGACCATTCTGTTTGCTCCCATCTGTGGTCCCAGCTCCCCACCCATGGCCTGGCCCCTTAGTAGGGGCTCAGCAGAGATTCGATGAATGAATGAATGAATGAATGGATGGATGGATGGATGGATGAATTCAGGACAGTGCTTGTTACATGACACAGGGTCTACTTCTTTGAGGCTTCCCGGGAGGAGTGTTGGGGTCTCACTCTTGCAAACGACATTGCTTCTCTGAAATGGTCAGTTTGTTCTTAGTGCCTGGACCCTCTCAGCTGAGTCCCCATTCATATTCTCCTGCTCTTGCTGGCAGCTGGAAAGCATTGAAATAAATCGTGGCTGACCCTTAGCAGATGTGTAGGACTTCACGGTATATACTTTGTGCATTGGCCACCTTCCTGCTTACAATTTATGCCCTGTTCCTTATTTCCCCTTTTCCTTATTTTTCTTCACCATCCTTTTGTTTATTATAATGCATATTTTATGTGACCTTTACTCTTATCTTAAGTATATTTGGCAGCAAGTCAGGTTATAAAAAATAGTACTCAGATGAATGGCCCTTAATGTACTGGGGTCAATAGATAAAAGGTTAGAATTTCAAGAAAGATATTTTCATATGACAGTAATTTATTTCAATTTTTAAAAAAATTTCATGGTAAAGCAATGATAAAAATCGATGTTTACACTGAGATTCTTGGACTCTAGCAACATAAGATCCCTATAATTGCACAGAAACGTGGGCTTTTACTGTCACCGTAATATGTAGAGGATGTGTGAGAAAGAAGAAAGTCATCTGAACAGTGCCTGGCCTGAGAGATTGCGTGGTGTCTCTGTTGGTCTGCTTTTATATTCCTTTAGTTCTTGGAGACATGAATTAAAGTAGGTTCTTGTCTGGCCCACCACTCAGTTTTGCTTTGTCTTTCCTCTAGGCTTCAGGGATGTCAATGAATGGAGAACTTCTTTCCCACGTGCAAAGCTTGGTCCAGCCTAGATCTTCTCCAGCATTCTTTTGACTTAAGTGCTGTTTGACCCATAGCATCTCTGAACTAAACCTCAAAAATAGTTCCAGCCACAATTTCCACAGCGTTCAAGCAACCAGGTTTGTAGCAACAGCCTTCTCTCTGTGCTTTTGAAATTTTGTGACCCCCCCACCCCCCCACCACCCCCCCAGTGGGGGGCAGGGAGCTTTTGTTTACCCGTGAAGCACCACTTTCAGTTATACTCATGATTATGTGACTTTCGGTATTTGCTATGTCCTCACTCTTGGCCAACACAAATATGTTATCACATTCGACCTTCCTTAGCACAAGAATGACTTTGGAAGGCCACAAGATTTTCTAATAAACAAATAATGAAGGAAATGAGAGCACCTGCAGAAGGAAGGAAAAGCTCCAACTGCAGATGAGGAGATAAGACATAACAAAGGCATCCACGTTCCTGTGAAGTGATGATCCCTTCCAAGAATGCAGAATGCTATGACCACTTGTATGGAATGCCTGCCCTGGCACGCTCGCTCCAACACAAGCAATCCATGCTAGCCAGACTGGTGGTATTGTCTGATCCACTGTCAACCGCAGGAACCCGAACGCATTCGCCCCAGGGCCTCCCCTGACCCCCACCCAGGAGGCCGAGGAGAAAGCTCCTGGTACCATGACACTTGCAATTAACTCTTTGAGGGCAACAACTGCAAGAGCTCGTCCCAACCCTCTTCCTGTTCCCTTGATGCCCACTCACCCTCCCCCACCTGCCACCCATCCCAACTACGTAGAGGTCCATTTATGAAGACAGTACTTAGGGTGGGGAGGAGAGGGACTTCCCTCTTCTTTTTACTAAAGAGGAATATTTTAGCCTCTATTAGCCTTGGTTCCATCCTCTGAAAATAATCCAGTCAGGTTAGAGGATCTCCAAAGCCCTTATACGTTTGACTTTTTAAAAATAGCATTAACTCTGTTTCCCTACTTCCAAAGATGCTCAAACTTCACTAGAATGCTCATTTTATCATCTCTAGATTGTCTTTTCTTCCTTTATTCCTTGTAGGAATGTCAGGCGCTGGACTCAAACTATCTGGGTTCAAATCCTTGCTTCCTAACTTGCTCGCTATGAGATCGGAGGCAAGTTCCTTAAACTTTCTTAGCCTCCATTCCCTCAACAGAGGAAAGGACCATACAAGAGTAATAATTATTATGTGTATTTCCCAGGTATATTGTGAGGATTAGGTGAGGAAAATCTGTGGACAGCACCTCATGTTCTTTCTTTCTTTCTCTACCCCACCCGTGTTCTCTCCTTCCCTTCCTTCTCCACCTTCCTGGCCTTTTCTCCTCCTTTGCCTACCACCCTCCTTTTCTCCCTCCTCCTTCCTCATTCCTTCCTCTTCCTTGCAGACTCCATTGTCCCACGTGGGTAGGGGATGGGCAGCCAGATATTGGGTGGGAATATTTGAGTTCCTACTCCCACTTCCACTTCTGGTACCTCCCATCTTGGCCCAGGAGGCAAGCCCAGAGGCCTTGTGTCCACAGCACCAGCAGGTAGCACAAGAGGACCCCAAGGGCACAGAGGAGTGGCAAGAACTGGTAAGAAGTGCTTTGTTTGCATTTCTTTGAAATGGATACAAGCACACTTACTTAAAAGCCATTCTGAGATGAAGCATTGACCTTACCTGAGTTCAGGAAGTTTCTTCAAACATCCACTGCCTCACAGATTCATTAGGTTCTTTGAGAAGTCTCTTTTTTGAACCTTTGACCACCACCACCATTACTGAGAGAAAAAAATGGGGAGGTAGTGGGGGGGATGGAAGAGTAAAAGGGGAGAGGAAGGAACAAACTAAAGTTTGTACAGGTAGGAGCCTGGTGTATTTTGGAGTTAGTTGGTAAGGAGTTGCTAGTTGAGTTTTAGGAAAGTTTTTTTTTTTTTCAAACCTGCCTAATAGATCCTGAAGCCCTACTGCTTAAGAAACTGTGAAGGTAGAACTGCACCTACAGACAAGAGGGGGAGCACATGACCAGGATCCCACATACAGTGATGGTCACCAGGTTTTACCTTGAGGGTCTACTCCTTCCAATTTGCAATGTTTGCCCAGAAAGCTGTGTTGAGAAGGGCTGGGAGGCATGGCTACGATGTCTTGCCAGCATCTGCAGGGGCAAGACAAGACTAATGGGTATGGATGGACTCTGTATCTGCCCGTTAGGATTAAGATATACAACGATGACATCACCATCTTAAGCAGGGAGAGAAATAACCTGATAACTCTGGACTGCTCCAGAATATAGTGTGGCGTGCTGACAGAGCGAGAGCTGAGTATTCTTTCCTTGGGGCGAGGGTGGGGAATGGAATGGGGAAGGGAGTGGAGAAGACAGGGCTGCTGAAATGACTAGGGGAGGGCAAAGGCACTGGTGCACGGTATGGGGATATAGAATATACATGAACCTTCACTGTAAGATGAAGTCATAGGAAGCAGTGTTTTAACAAAGTCTCTCCTTGCACCTGTGAATGTTTAACCTCTGCTGAGGTGGGCGCCAGTAATTCAGCTGGACATATCTGCTGAGTGTAAATGGTTTTCTAGGTTTCCCATATGCTGTTTCTGTCTTAAGCTATTGATACTTGCAAAGAAAAGGGGGAAAAAAGTTTAATTCAAGTGTATGAAAGAAGCCTTCCTTGTCTTCAGTTCCCTCGATGAAAAGTTATGCCTTTTAGATAAATTTGACTATAACAAAGGCTTTAAAAGGTCTCTCTCTCTAGAGATCTTTTTGAAGATTGTTGCTCTTAGTGATGATCAGTTAAATTGAAGAGAGGAAGCAAAATCTGGTCTTGGCTACTCAATACAAACTCAAATTGGAATTGTCCCTATGTCTTCTAGGTGCTTAGGTTCTGTAGTATAAATTAGGATGTGTTTCCAAAGGTTCTCGTCCCCCCCACCACCAAAAAAAAAAGTTTGATAATGACAGTCCCTATTTTGAACTGCTACGTTTATAATTGCCACGCATTTGATGTAGATATGATGATTTTTTTTTTCTAGGTGTCACAATTTGTCACTTACAAATTCATAGCTTTCTGAAGTAGCCCAGTGAGGACATGTGTAAGGAATTCTGCATCAACAACGTTTGTTCTCCTTCTGTATTGACTCCTGCTTCCTACACCAAACCCAACACTTATTCCCGTTGGTTTCACCTTCTAGTACTTTTTTGTGCTTACTTTAGAGCTTCATATTGATCTTCCCTCTCTGCTCTTACTCAAACCATCTTTACTTCTCTAATCTATTTGCCAAACTCCTGCCCTAACAATCTTGTTACTCCTTTACCTAAAACTGTTCAGCAGTCTCCCAGCGCCCACAGGACAAAGCCGTTGGAGGCGTTCTTGCTTTGTCTGCCTCTCCAGCCCTGTCTCTGCCGCCTCCATTCCCTACAGTGTACACCCCCACCCCCACCAAGTCAGGCCTTAGAGTTCTCTCTGCTTCCCATGGTGATTCTTACTCCATGCTTTGGTAATGTGTAGCCCAAGTACTCTCTCTGGTCACCAAGCCATGCTTTCTGCTTTCACCTTGTTTTTGCTTCTGTCCTAGCCCAGTAGGACCTCTCGGCTGTGTGTTCCAGTACAACCAGACAGGTTGCTAAGTAATTAAATACTTCCGTAGGACCTGGAGACCCCCAGAACCTGCTGGTGATCTAGCAATCAAAGGGTTACTGCCTGTAATAGCAGAGGGCCTCCTGGACCCTGTTCAACACTTTGGCACTCACTATCCATTTGGGTTCAGTAGTTAATTTTTTCAACCCCCCCCCCCGCCGATTACATTATTTCTACCCTTTTTGACATTGACTGTTGCATTTACTCATTCTTCTATGTTTCCTTCTAAATTGTAGCTTCTTGGAAGGTCAGGATACAGTCTTTCCCAACCCAGAATCCCCAGCATCCAGCGTAGAAACCCAAACAAAGTAGGTGCTTCATAAATATTGAATGAGAATGAGGCTATCCCCTGGGTCAGGGTGGGGAGGCTGCAGCAATGATGTGAACTGATTTCTGATTGGCTCTGAACCATCCTTCTCTTACAGTGGTGGTTCTTATCTGGGGTGATTTGGCCCCGAGATGTGACATTTGACGATGTCTAGAGACATCCTCTGGAGTTTTAGTTGTCCCGATTGTGGGAGCAGGTGATGGGGGTGGGGGTGCTAATGACATCTAGTTGGTAGAGGCCAGGGTTCTGCTAAACATCTCTTATGTGCCAGGCAGCCTCCACCACAAAGTATTATCTCGCCCAAAATGTCAATCTTCAGTGCTGAGGTTGACATCCTGCCTTGTAGCATTGGCAAAAAGTCCTTTCCGCCATATTGGGGTCTCATCCTCCCATTGGTTACTGACTTTTTTTCTCTATGTTCCCCCATCTCATGGTTCTAGCAAGTCTGTACCTAGGAACAGAAGTAACTCATAATTTCTTTTCTTTTTTTTTTTTCCTCTCGACTTCTGCTGCCTGAGGAGGTCCCTCTAGACCTTCTCTCTGCCCATGTCCCTCCAAGGTTGAGGCCCCTCCCTTAGTTACATGCCTCAAAGTGAAGGTTTTTGAGCAATGCATAAGATGTGAAGTTTACTTGCACAACCTGACAGACTCAAGACAATGTTTGGGGTCCGAGAGAGAACTAGCGAAAGACAGAGAGGACACGGGAGTCTAGATATTTGACTGTGTCTAAAGGATATCAAAACACCTGGTGGAACGCGGGAAAAACGGGGCTGCCAGTTGGTTTTGTTTATGTGGAACAAGCCAATTGTTTCTTCCCATGTGAGTGGCTGGTTTTGTTTTATCTTTCTGTAGCCACTATCCCCTCTTTTCCCCACAGAACAACTAGAACTCATTCTTTTTTTGTGATCTTTGTTTTGGCTTTTTTTTTTTCCTTCCCCTTTTGATTTCTTCCAATGAACTCTTATTTTGCTGCATAATATCAAAATATTTTCTTCAAAGACAATTTCCTTTAAAAATAAACTGTTATCAGGAGAGAAGCTATGTTCACAGCTGGTAAAGGCATGATTAAATAATCACCGTATGGGGAATTGAAAAGCAATTTCATAATATAGCTTCAGAATCCAAAGAGAAAATCGAAGGAAACATTCCAGTTA